TATATAGTGTAAGGAAAAAGCAAAACAAGCAGACAGAAAAAAAAGGGGGAAAGGAACAGCATGTACCAGTGATGACGCCCTCCTATCATCCACTTAAAAATTTTTTTTAGTAAGAGTTTTAGAGTACTTGCAACACAATAAGGTCATATATGTACCTAAGAATAGACGCGTAACAAGAGAGTAACATACACAAAAAAAAAAAAAAAGAAAGAGGAGAGATAAGGACTATAGATGTTTGATAGGAAAGAAGGAGCAAACCATACCAGAGCACCCGCCAACCACCCACTCCTATCACCCTCCGGACTTACCTGAGGAGAAGAACTGTGTCCAAGATTACTGTAGGACTTGAACTGAGCTGCTGGACTGAATGTCTTGATGATTTCATGTGTAGTCTCTCCCCATCTGTGCGACACAAGTGGGTCAGCTAAGCCGTGGCATTGTAAGATCGGTACGTCGGTGTTGTACCTTGCATTCTGAAATGGCAAAAGCGAAACACTTCAAAACATGGCAAAAGTATCCCAATACCCCAACAGTAAAATTCATCAATGCCTTTCACCCCTGGCAGGGTATAGGCCACATACAAGCTCCTTCAATTTCTCTCTATCCTGGGCCATCCTTCCTAGCTCGTTCCAAGTGAGCTTCATCTCTCTCATGTCCCTTTCCACGCATCTCCTCCATGTTTCCCGTGGCCTACCCCTGCCTCGAGCTCCCTGTGGGTTCCATTGCAGTGACTGTCTTGTGATGTTTCCGCTGGGCTTTCTGAAGGTGTGTCCCATCCAATGCCACTTTTTTAGTCCTATTTCTACTTCTATATCCTTTTGTCCTGTCCTTTCCCATAGCTCTTCATTTCTTATTCTATCCTGCCACTTAATTCTTACGATACTCCTCCAACAGTAAAATGACTACTTAGTAATTATCATACATGATATATACGATCACATCGCCCAAAACACACACCCCTAAACAAACAGAAACGTATGGGTGTTAAAAAGGCGGAAAAAAATTGCTTTAAGTTACAGGAATATATAAGTACTAGCTGGGCCCGCGTTCAATGAACGGATTGAGACAGAAGCGTTTTGATTTTTTCCAGTAGCAAGAAAAAGAATTTGACAAAGGAGTCCAGGAAAAGCGATGATGAGTATCAAACGAAAGGATCACAGCCGAATTTAGCACCAAGTAAATAAAGAAAACATGAGGCTAGATCTACACGGGTCGCACACTTAAAATAGTGCTCAGTATTGCAAGACAATGCGCGATAGTATCGAACGGAAGTACGACTTAAAATAAACAAACCTGGCGGATTTTCTAAAATTACAGAGACAGAAGCGTCGCCTACAAAAGTTATCGGCGAAATAAAGAAATTTAGATTTTTTCAGCAAAACTGTCTCAAAACGGAAAAAAACGAAGGACGCCACAATCTGGAGAATATTTTAAAGAATCTTTTGGCGAAAACCGCATGTCGATCGATGAAGCCATTAAAAAGCCTTTTGAATAGCAACATTCAGCCACCACAAATAGATAATAGACACAAGCACAGACAGACAGTCCTTTCTAATCTGACACTGATTACAAGTGAATTTATTGCATCCGTTTAGGTCTGAAAACTGGACTTCGAGTTACAAACACACTTAAATCAAAAGTAGTCTATCTGAAATCACTAGATACTACACGTAAAGGCACATGATTAAGATGAAATTAGGCTGATGAAAAAATTTCAAAAATACCTAAACTAGCTGGGCATGCAATTTCAAACAGTAGAGAAAGGGGGTGAGAAGAATCAGCCATTATGAGAATAAATTAATAGAGTCATAATAACAAATTAATTCAGTCAGTAACGCAGACAAAGCATCATTCTGCTAAAATGTACATGCAGCCCCAGGGCATTTTGTACTTCTAATTCTTCCATCAATTAGAACACATATTTCTTAAGGCAACACAATCAACATAAGAAAATGTGAGGCATCTTTACTTTCCACTCACAGTGCAAATAGTAATGAATAGAAATTACATTGAAGCACATTCCCATATAAGGTGACTATTCAAAGCATTTTACAACAAAGATTACACGAGCACACCCCCCCTCCCCCCGTAGGGTAGACAACTCAAACACAATGGGAAAAGCTTACGCTCTGGTTGGTGAAGTATTTGTTAAGAGGTAGCCAGGTGCTGAGAGCTAGAACGCCCCCGATTTTTACATCTGCGGCAAACGCAGTATACAACGCTATCGCTCCGCCCTGAGAAAATCCTCCAATCACAATCCTCTCAGCTGGTATACCATCAGCGATTTCTTTGGCGATGAGCTGTTGCACTGTGGATTCCAAAGACAGGTTCATCAAACACGGGAAGAAATAAGGAAAATGACGACAAGTGGTTGTGTGAGAAACATCAAAACTGTTACGAGCTTTCAAAGCATAAATAAATAGACTTTAACACATTACACCCTGACTCGCCCGGAACCGCCCGCGCCGACCTAGTGTCTTTAGAAACGACGTCTCGCCTTGACGAGACTCTGGGCCGAGATTTTGCTTTGCTTAGTTATTGCAAAAAGTTTCTTCTTTCGTTTGATACTGAAACAAAATTTTTCTGGCAAGTAGTTTTAGTATTAGAGCCGATAGAAGTGCGATCGCGTTACCAACACTTCGTAGGTGTCCCAACTTGTTGAAAAGCAACAAAATTGAATTCGAAAAAGAAAACAACGATGGATTTGAGCAAAAACAAGCAGAAAACGTCGTAGCAAGAGTTTGGGGCGATTCAGATTGATCAGACGTAGAAAATCTAGAAATTAGATCTAGAGCCTGACCGCGAGGCTGAGAGTGAGAGTGACGGGTCGGACAGCCCGAATGAACTAAAGTTAGAAGAGTTCATACAGTTTGCGCATACATAAAGTTATATTTTTCTGAAACTACATTCATTATTCGTTTTAACTTTAATTTTTTCAAGATTTTAAAAATTTGTTTAGTATTTTTTTAATGTGTTTTTTTAAAGGCTTGTATTCACGGGAGGTGGGTTCCTTCTCCTTGCTTAGGATCTAGGAATGGACTTCCCGCCCAGGCCCTCTGGGTGTAATGTGTTAAACCTTCAATCTTTCATTCATTTCCTTTCACTCTAAAAGAAAATCCCAACACTTAATGGAAAATGTACTTTTAAATAATAAAAACAAAAAGTTATATTTAACTAATTCACTACTACTTGATAGAACAGGGATGGCTTGGAAAAAGATTTAATGATTGACGCAAAGAGGGAAAAATATCCCATAAGGTTTTACGGCGCTTGCAACTGCATTAGGTCATATGAGCGACAAGGGGTGGAAGTGCACAGAGAAATCCTTACAGGGAATCAGGCTTACTCTGCTCACCTCTCGTAGCTTCAACAGCACAAAGTCTGCTTCGACTATCAAGGCCCCCCGGAAATAGCGGGTCACAAAAGTGTGACAAACATACAAAGAGGTAGAGGCAAAATGACGATAGTAAGGATTAGGAAAGAAAAATATAGTGTAAAGCGCATAGAGCCTGCTGTTGAGCGGGGATATGCGCTATACAAATGCTATCTATTATTATTATTATCATTAAAAAGAAGCAGTTCCCTGTTGCAGTTCAGGCACAGTTATGAGCATGACATTGATGAATCAGCCCATTTATAATTACAATTCTACCGTGCATAAGAACATGGTTAACGTCCCCCCTTTGGGAATGGCCTAAAGACACTTCAGTCAGTGGCACCGCCCTGGGTTGTGTACCTGCGGTCTTGAAACAGGAAAGAAGGTCAAAATGTAAACTATAACACTATACGTTTTTGATTGATGCTCGTGGAAAGCAAAAATTGTGAAGAGAAAAGAGGGGGAAAGCACGACAGACAATAGACACAACAATACTTCAAACTTTTGTTTCCCTAAAACAAGGGCCCTGTAACCATTTTCTTTCCCGTACCACACCCCAGTCAACTTACACTTTCTATTATCATGTTTCAACTTATTCATGAAAACCCACACCCCAGTCAACTTACACTTTCTATTATCATGTTTCAACTTATTCATGAAAACTATCGTTCACATTTAATGCCATTCAATATGTTAAATACTTACATTCTTTAGAGGAATCTTTCACACCTTGTTCATCCTCGGGACTCATTGGGCTCAGCCCCTTGATGTCAAACCTGGCCACGACAAAAGTATAACATTTTTAATTAAAAATCAAATTTTACTGGAGATTTTGGCAGGTCTGAAGCGTGTTTCAAGAAATTGCAAGCAGTTGCCGGAACCAAATAGGAAGGCAATGCTCTGGTGGGACAAACGGCCATCCTTAACAACAGGTCACTTTGTAGGTTGAAGAGCGTATGGCTGACTACCACAGAGATCCAGAGCGGGAAGGAACAAGAAAGCAATTCTCTAAAAACAAATAAAAGCAGGTGTCTTTTAAGCCCCCATTAACACAATTTAGATAATTTAGGAGGTGGGCTTCTCTGTCAAGGCCAACCCAGGCCGAGAGGGACACAAGATTCCAGCATAACATAAAGACATAGAAACCCTAGAAAAATTCTCCCCTCATTGGAATCAAACTCGGGTCTCCTATGCGTGACAGTTCTTAAATGCTACACAACAGACCCTGGAAGCAACTTGGTTATGAAAAGACTGATGAATTCAATATTTATAACATACTCATTTCTCAAAAGAAGAAGAAAAGAAAAAAAGAAGCATGCCGAGATTGAAAAACAAAAAAGAACACCAAACATTAAAGAAAAAAACAATGTACTTACCAAGATGGCATAACCATACCCCCATTCAACGTGACAGGTTTCAAGGGTCTGTGGAAGGAAGCAAGCAAATAAACATTATTGAGAAATGATGACATTGTCGTATATGAATCAATAATAATAATTGCATTTAGATAGTGCATATCCAAGCTCAACAGCATGCATTATGCACTTTACAACCATTATTAATTTGAGATAACATTATTCAGGTATGAAAACACCTAAGAACAAATTTAAAAAACCTATTATAAAAATCCCTTTACAAGACTGACTGCACATGCAGAGTAAAAGAAACTCACTGTTCCACTTAGTCTCTTAAAAAAAATTGTTAAAAGAGGAAAGAATCCTAAAAGAAAGACCATAATTTTTAAAATGCGAATCCTGACAGGAAATAACAGAAATGTAAACATCTTCTTCTTGACTGAATCACACTTGAAGTCCAGTATCTACCATAATCATATACTGGGCAATCCAGCTCAGTCTCTGTAAAGTTGATAAGTGAGAAACATCAGACAGACTATACACTTACGCATGAGGGCACACACATCTTATATTCTTCAGGGAAAACTCTCGAAACATTTCTGCCCAGCCATGGCTGAAAGAAAAAAAATAAATAAAAAAAAATAAACAAAGTTGAAAATCAAGAAATCAAATTCCATTTCCACTATACTGACGAGCAAAAGAAAGGGGGCATCCTACGTTCTGTGCCTTATTTCCGATCTTTACCGTAGTAATGACGTATTGCCAATGGATTTTGAAAGGCTTGCCATTTTTCATTAAGGGCAGACAAAAAAAACCTTTAAAAAAACTATCAAAAACACACCTTTTATTAGAAACTCATAACACCGATTCAAATGTTCAAAATCCCAGAATTAGTAACAGGTGTAACTCCAACCAACATTGATGACTACAGTGCATCTCTGCCTCATTTATTGCACAAGTCCTTGGATAAATTGATGAGAATATAATTCCAAGCATTCGTTAATGATTGTTGCAGTTGTGGGATTGCCGTTGGGGGTGGACGAAGGCTGCGAATTTCCGTGTCCATCTTGTCCCAGAGGTGCTCAATCACGTTTAAAGCTGGGGATAATACTGGCAACAGTGTTATAACACATACGTTATTTTTGTTGTGAGAATCTCTGGGTAACAAAGGCACGGTGTGCTGGAGCAATGTCCTGCTGGAACACCAGATTGTTCCTGTGGCGAGCCAGAAACGGCAGAAGGTGTGGATAGAGAACGTCATTGATGTATCTCTGGGCAGTCAGATTACCGTCGATAATAACTAGATCGAATTTATCAGTACTGGTTATGGATTCCCTTACCATAATGCTACGTTTGTCAGCAACAGCACTTACACACTGAGGTAAATAACGTTTATGACGTCTCCGGTAGGCTTTTTGCCTTCCATAGTGGCGATCCAAAAGAAATCTGGACTCGTCAGAAAATACTCTATTCCACTAGCGGTTTAGCCATCGCCGGTGCAGACGTGCCCAGTGGAGCCTGGCATGACGGTGTCTTTGGAGGTGACGAGTGCGTCCAGCTGGGTGTCGGGAAACGATTCCGTGGGCTTTCAAGCGTCGACGAACGGTGAAGCGGTTGATTGGTCTAAGCCCAGGCCAATCTCTGGCAGTTTTAGAAGCTGTTTGAAACCGATCCCGCAAGTGTGGAACTCTGATCCGATTGTCTTCGACAGCAGTAGTGACACGAGGACGACCAGACCTTGGAGTGTCACTAACCGAACCACTTGCTTGGAAGTGTATCCTTAATAAGCTTTTGGATCGTATCTCTCTCAACATTGAAAGCTCTAGCGACAGCAAAAACCGCTGCATTAGCTCTCAGCATGCCAAGAGCTTCAAGACGTTGTGCATCACTGAGACGAGGCATCGTATAAAAAAAATTCAAAAGAACTAACCCAAAAATTTTGACGGCCTTTTCTCTGAAACATGTTGATGTGTGTAACGAATAAAGAATAAAAGTAAAGGCATTGTCAAGGACTACTATTTTATTTTGTAAACTTTCCAGAAAAAACGAGAAAACATGTTTTAGGCCAAACATGTTGTAAACACTTTTTACAAAAACAAAATAAACAAATATTGTTCTGACTGACTTTCTAAAGTGACTCAAGCTCAGCATGTCAATCGCCAAGTCAAAATTCGCGAGACTACTCACACAGCACAGATTTGAAAACTGCCCACTTTCTTTTGCTCGTCAGTATATTGTCTCCTCAACTTTACCAAAAGTAAAAGCGTTAATCAAGTAAGAAAAAACAAATAAATAATAAACGGGTGTCATCTTGAGAAAATAAGGCGCTCGTCAAAATAATGAAACCAAAGAAACTGCCACTTTTCTGCTCTTTGGGTAATTGTTTTCAATGTTTTCCCCCCAGGTTAAACACCTTTCGCCACAGAAAAATGATCATACAGGCACAATAAATATAAACTTTTGCTATATCATGGATTTCTAAAAGAATAACACCCATTTAACTAAATTGTGAACCCAGAATTCCCATGGATCTGCCAAGTTAGATATATATATATGTCATTTGAGCTGTGGGCAGCAGTCACTGTCCGAGTGAGTTTGACAAGCTGCCACCATCTTTTACAAGAATTTACACGTACGTGTGAATCAATGTGTCCTTTAACTTTCCACTGCAACGGAACCATTATCATAGGAAAGCAGTCACTAGTGGCCTACATGTCTCAACCCAGCTGTCACCCCTCCAGATGACCAGCCAGCTGTTTCTGCACATACATCTAGGCTCCTGAATAATCCTTGACTTCAACTTTTCCTTAGTTGACATTTTTTAATGACAAGTAAGAGGTTTCTCTACATTATGGTATGGCACATGACTTGGACTTGCTTGTGAACCATTGTTCACAAAATTCATTTCAAAGCCCTATCGTTATAACCTTCGAAAAATGTGCAAACAAGGTAACTTACGACTCATGAAAGAATTTCCCACATTTTGAAAACAGAGATGCCAAAAAAACCCAGCACATTTCAGTCAAAACAAAAAGCCATGCATGAGACTTACATAAAATTTAGATCTAATTCAATCATAATCATTACAAATGCATCATTTTGAAGACATTAGAAAAGTTGTACCATAAATAGTTGACAAGCGCACACACAAATGAGATATAGAACTTACCCTGTATCTCCTAAACCATGAAGGAAAATAAGCTGTCGAGAAAACAACATACGAACAAATTATTTCAGAGCTGTAAATTACGCAAAAACAGTTTAGTAAAATAATCTCTAATGTAAATGATAATGACAACAAAATACATGAAGCTGCAGTGAGCACCTAGCACACCTCTGTGATTGGCCCAAATATAGATGACGCATTTCGGCGATCTATTTTTGTTGTCTTCCGGGGCTTCCCTTGCAAGCTGACTAGATCTCACCACCGTGGCGGGCCCGCTTTGCCACAAAGCGTGCGATGGGCTTCATCACTAGATCTAGGTTTCATCGTTCACTGCTCAGGCTGTGTGCTTGTGTGTGTGTGTGTGCGCATGTTGTGCTTGTGTGTGCGAGCGCATGTGCTTGTGTGTGTGTGTATACAACTTTGAGGAAAAGGTAAATTTATGGTACAAGAATTGCTGAGATTATTTATAAAAGATTTTATAACACAAATAATTTTTTTTAAAAGAACAAAAACAAACAAACTGCGAGATCTTTTGTCAACAGTTACGGGCGAGTCGTGGCGAGGGAAACCCAAGAGTCTCTAGAGGGGGAAACCCTGGAAGACGAAAAAAATAGAAGGCGGAAATATGTCATTCATCTAAATATTTGGGCCAATCACAGAGGTGTGCTAGGTGCTCGCTGTAGCTTCATGTCAACAAAATAGCTACACATCGGCCTATTTGTCTCCAAAACATTTCATGCAAATGCAAAGCACTCCGCTAAAAGTAAGAAGCAAAACAGTTCTTCCCAGCAACCTTTACAAAACATTTCATGTTGCATTTTGATTTTCGGAGTGTCTACATACACGGTAACCGGGCACCTAGCCTCAGTGTCTACGTACACGGTAACCGGCAACCTGACACTTAGTCTCAGGGTCAGGTACACTGCTGTAACCGGGCTGTTCAGAACTCCAAGTTCACTTTTTGTCATCCGATGTTGCCATCATCCCAACCCCTCCCCGACTGTACCTTAAAAAAAACCTCATTCCGGAGCCCTCTGACATATACTTCGCAGCGCAGACTTTGAATTAACTTTGGCTTGGTGACCCCAACCGGAACTCACAATGTGATGCGCACGCACCGGTTCACTGACCGGTTATGATGGCGAGCCCGACAAATATTGATTTATTTTCATTCCGGTTACCGTGCACGTAGATCTAGATGATACTGAGACTAGGTGCCCGGTTACCATGTTCATAGATACTGAGACTGAGACTAGAATCTAGGTGCCCAGTTACCGTGTATGTAGATACTGAGACTAGGCGCCCAGTCACTGTGTACGTAGACACTCCGCATCCGTTTGATTTTTGTTACAAGACACTTTTCAAAACTCGGGTCAAAGGTCAGACATGACAGCTCATGATGAATTGTTTGAGGTAAAGATTACAGTATGGTCGTACATGTGAAATGGACTACAGTTTGGGAATGGTGGCGAAGGCTAGCAGCCTCATCTAATCTAAACATGTAGGAGTATCAACACAGACTCTCAAACTTAATATTAATATATAATTAGAAATCTAGTTAATTTTGGTGTCACTCATGATGTCACCACTGTCAGCCACACTGTGCCACACAGATAACCACAAGTACAAGTCCAAGTACATCTAGTTTAAGAACAAGGAATGGAAGTTGAAGTTGTCTGTTGTTGTGTTAACTCTGATAAGATTTCTAACTTCTTGGAACATTCTAGTGAATTCTGAATAATGAAGAAGACATGATAAATCTAGTAATAATTTAATATTGACAGTGCTTACCGCTGCAGTCGCTTTCTCTTTCGATGGCACTTTCACAGGAGGATTCATTTTGTGCGATGAGGAGGCGCCCATAAACCGTTTAAATACAGCTGCAGAACCTGCAACGACAATGATAGCAATAAGAAAAATAGACCTGGTGTTGAGCTCAAAGCTCTGAATCTTTTTGCGAAGCGAAAGAATCATCCATCCATACGTATCAGCTTCTGCACTGGCAGGATGTTGCTATGGCGCATCGAGTGAGTTGGCTTGGCCAGTGGGATCGGCTAATCTAAAGATGCAAGGGGAAAAAATCAATTCACACACACCACACATCTCGTGTCCACCGTCGATAGAAAGCGGATCTTCTCGCGAGATGTAAATATTGCATAAAATCAAATGACAGAACACCACAAAATTTCCCGTAAATTCAAAGAAACTGCGGGCTACATGGTTGTTCCTGCATAATAAATGCTAACTAACCAGCGGAATAATAACAAGGAGAGCGCTGTGACAAGCCAACTGTGACAGTCCCATCCTGCGTCCTATAAATCTATCCGTGCACCAGCTTGGACGAATGTACCCAAAGGGAAAAAGGTGCAGCAACCTCGGAAATGCAACTTCTTGTTCCGAACGACGACATCAACAAGGATGCAGAAAAATCCGACAGGGATCAGGTAATTTTTTCCATTATAATCCTTGTCCATTAAATTGTTTTTTTCTCCTCTCCTAGAATCTAATTTTATTGTTTACAGTAGCAGCCAGAAATCCTAGCTTAGCCCAGATGTGCGTGTAAACAAAACAACTCTGAAACTGAAAGGGACTGAACGTCTTTTTTCAAAAGCCCTGCCTATTTTTCGTTGTTTAGGATCATTAGCCTACTCTTTACCATTTATTGAAGTCACTATAGGACTATAGGATAGGTGGCTTAAAAAATTCTTCCCATTGCCATTGTCAGCTCAGCTGGCATCCTCAACATTATATCATCAAGGACGAATTCTCTGAAGGAGCGACCACTTAATGAAACAGTTATAGAGTAGAGGGCTATAGGCCTAGGGTTTGGGTTAGGTGTAGGGCTAGGGGTTGGAGCAGGGCCAGGTTGGATAAGGGTTAGGGTTGGTCTCTAATAAAACTTGTTTGTGTTTGTTGGGGTGGCTGCTTGATACGCAAATCCTCTTAAAAATATAATAGGGCGTATTTCAGTTATTTAATCTTACTTTGGCTCTACTGAAAATTACTGTGCTGTGTGATTAACATCAGAGGATTGGCATTCTGAGCTGCAGGGAGAGTGTAATCACTGGAGATCTTGCATCAAACTAAAAGAAACATGATTATATATTGTTCATGTCAACTCATCAGGATAGAGATTATACAATTGAATTTGTGTAGACCGCCACCCATTGTCAAGGAGAAAAGTGGCCGTATAAGACAGGTGGCTGTCTTAGGCAGGACTGATCAAGATGAAGAAAACAAACCATTCCTTTCTGAGGTCCCAACCGAAGATAGCCGAATTGTTGTTGTTGTTGTTATTGTTGTTGTTTTCGCTGGATTTTTTTTTCTTTTGTTTCTGTTTTTGTGCGAGGGTGACAATGAAACGAAATGTGTCAGACAAGGAGGACCAAGTGTCATGTTAAAACAAATTCATGGGTCGCCACCACTCGGAGAACGAGAGACGCTTCTGTCACAAAACAAGTTCATGTCCATTGTTACTTTGTTACAGACTGGGTAAAGGACAGTCACTCATCTCACTTACGATTTGTGTAAGAGTTCTGGGCGGGGCTTACGGGTTATGAGGGATCACACGCTTACCTCTCCAGCTGCTTAAAATTAGCTAGTTACCTATTGCCGGGCTGGGGCGACCATCCCCGACCCGGCGGGTCCCAGGTGGCGGATAGGGAACGGCCACTGTAATGGAGGTTAGCTGTGAATATGTTGAATAAGCAGCCCCGGACCAACTGGCGATGCTCTTACCAGGATGGGGTGAGGTGGTAGGTGGCTGTACCATGTCATTAAATGCCCGGAGTCCTCTGACGGGAGCATCATGTGGAAAAGGACCGCATAAGTCCTGGCTACGGGTGGGATCCGGTAACAATTCCTCCCTGTGCTTCCAGGGTAGGTCCTTGGACCTGGAGTTGGAGTGCTGAAATCGGAGGTATTGGGCCGCAAGGCGCACTCTAGAGAACCAACAATACCTCGGAATACTGCAATATATGACACTTGAAGTAGGTAACGTTAGATATGGTGCTCGCCCTGTGAGGACCCACCAGGCAGGTGCAGTGCCGGGCCCCAAGCCTTGAAGGGGTCCACCCCAGCGACTGGAGGGCCTTCCATCGTCTTGTAATGCCAGGAGATGAGGTAGAAAAGTGACTGGTAACACAAATACAAAACATGTAGGTAAAGAAAAGTCTTAATATCATGCACTGGAATGCCGAAGGAATCTCAAACAAGAAACAGCTGGAAAACTTTCTAAAAGATAATGAAATACACATCAGCTGTATACAGAAAACCCACTTTCAGGAGGAGGCAAGCATTAAGAAATATACAGGAGAAGCTGAATATATCCACAACAGGATCACCACCAGCAGAGGCAATCTGGATCTAGTGAACTATTATTGTCCAAACGATAAAAACCTTGTGCTAGAAACCATCGAAGTCCCAGACCACAGACTTTATCATCGCTGGAGATTTCAACAGCCAGTCCCAGAGTTGGGGTTATAACAGACTAGACAGGAGAGGAGAAGAAATAGAGGCTTGGCAAGATAAAAATCATCTTCTGCTTGTAAATGATCCTTTAGATCAACCAACATTTTATTCTCGAGCTTGGCATTCTACTACGACTCCAGACATAGCACTCTGCACAGAAAACTTGCACAGACATCTAAGCAGAAAAGTGGAAACCCAGCTCAGGGGAAGTGACCATCGCCCTGTTCTTCTTACCATAGTAGAGAGCCTGCCAGAGGACAGCCCGAAAAGGCCGAGATGGAACTACAAAAAGGCAGACTGGAGACTTTTCAGCTTAAGAACTAATGAGCTGACAAAGAACATCGCAGTCTTCGACAAAAACATAAACAATGCCATCACAGAGTTCAATGAAAACATCCTTAAGTCAGCAAAAGAAACCTTACCTAGAGGGGTAAGAAAAAATTACACCCCGTACTGGACGCCAGAACTCCAGAAAACACATAACGACCTCATCAAGGCCAGAGAAGAAGCCGAAACACATTCAGGGATAGAAAATAGCAACAAGTTACAGAGGTGTAAAGCCCACTATCTCAAAACCAAATTGGAGTGCACCAGGAAAAGCTGGAGAGACAAAACGCACAAACTTAACCTGGAAAAAGACACCACAAAACTATGGAGGCTTGTAAAGGGGCTAAACTACGAAGGAAATAAAAGTGCCAAGATCACTCTAGAAGTTGAAGGAGAGATGGAAATGGAAAAAAGGGCTGCACATACCTTTGTAAAAGCATACGCTCAAGAAAGCAACATTAAAATACCAAAAGAGAGACAAAAAGAAGTCAGACAAGAGGAAAGAAATAAAAGAAGTACAAATAACATCCCGGAAGCAATGGAGAAGGACATCACCATGGAAGAGCTGAAGAAAGCAATAAATCAACTGAAGCAAAGAAAATCACCAGGCCCCGATGAAATTACAAACGAAATGTTACAACATCTAGGCAACACAGTGTTACAGACTCTACTGGATATATTCAACTTAAGCTGGAAAATAGGGCAAGTACCTCAGTGCTGGAAAGAAGCAACGATGATCCCAATCCTCAAGCCAGGGAAAAGTAAGGCACAACCATTAAGCTATAGACCTATCAGCCTCACAAGCTGTGTATGTAGGACAATGGAGCGAGCGCGTCATAGCTTACAGAATGCAATGGTACCTAGAGGCACAACACATCATAGTACCAGAACAAGCTGGATTCCGTCAGTTCAGGAGCACAGAGGACCAAACAACATACTTGTCCCAAGTTATAGAGGACTCCTTCCAGGCACAGAAAGTGATGCTAGCAACTTTTGTTGATCTACAAAAAGCATTTGACAAGGTGTGGAAGGAGGGTCTACTAGTCAAGCTCCTTAGAAGTGGTATCCAAGGCAACATGTACCAATGGACCAAATCCTATCTACACAACAGAAGATGCTATTGTTTGAAGTGTGTTAATTGTATTCACAATTTGTTTGACTCTGAGGTACGCTCAGTAGAATATTTTTACAAATTTAAATGATTTTATATTCCTTTCTCATAATGTTTAGAAAAGCATCATATAATATAAAATTATATGTGTGTATAGATTCAACTTTTGAAACAATTCCAAATTCTGTCTCATATAGCTTCAACAATGTGAGTATACTTTGTTTCAAGGCACCTCCTGCCACAATTTGAATCTTTGCACAATATTTCTCCATAGCTTGTCACACAACTTATGTTGTTATTTTTTAAGAACAAATTTACAGTAAAGCAGTGTGAAATTTTGTCCAAGTCTTGTTCAGTTGTGGTTGTGGTAATAAATTTGATAAGTAAGAAAGGTTTGCAGCTTGCTTAACACAGCTATTATTGTATCATGTTTCATTTTGCAGTAAATGCCGCTTTACATTATAACTTTCAAGTGAATTTCTAGCCATGTGTTCTCTAATGGTGAACTTCACTATGCTAAAAGCCTTTAATGCCATAGATGACACTGTGGGTGTGGTTTTCCTATTTACCACAAGCTGCTGCCTGGGAAGTTTTTTTTGTTTTGGTGATGGAGTTTTACGTCTGGAATGGTTAGGGTTTTTGGGGGAAAATAAGAACTTTAAAATGCTACAAAAAATGAACATGTGGAATATTAGACTAATCGGTAGGCAATAAGCTCTATGTCATTGCAATGTTAGTCAAGAGAAAGTTTATTTTTGCCTTTTACTATGTTTCCCAGCTTATCCCCCTTAGATTATCCTAGTTATCAATTCCTTTGTTGCGCAGGCAATTTTAAGGCCCTGCGCTCACTGAGAAAATTTCCATGGCATTTGTCGCTTGGGTACAAGTATGCAAACGAGCCAATTTTCATCTGCTTGTTTCTCAAGATCTTCACCGTTATACTTTAATTTTACAGCCATGCAATAAGTTGAGCATGAACCCCAGATTTTTTTTGCTTGCATTTTGCAATAAGATACTTTTCACTAAAACTAAATAACAAAATTTATTAATGAAAGGGATATCTTCACTCTTAATGTTTAAGTTAGAATTGATGGTTATAGTGGGCACTTTGAGCACAGTGGGCAGCCAGCACATTTGAGGCGTCATTATGGTGAAATCAGGTGCTTGCCAATTTTTGGGTATATATATGGAGTTATTGGTATAACCCTAGCGAACTTGTTATTTTGTGTCGCTTTTAATTTGAAAAAAAAATGCCCATCTATCTTGAATAGAAGTCGAGATATCTGCAATTAAAGGAGGTGGGGGTCTCTTGGTGTCAGAGGTTAAATTAGCGAGAAAATTGCTACTAAAACCTGGTGACTCACAATGTTTGAGAGTTATTGGAAACTACAAATTTACATTTTTTGTGTGCGTTTAATCAATGTTTTTCAGTTAATCAAATATTCTCGCAGAAATGTGTTTTTAAATAGACTTAAAAAGGTGTTGAGGGAAAAAAAAATCCAAACAAATTGCCCAGCGGGCCGATATATGACGCTTCCTTTGATTTCATTAATTTGACGAGCGCCTGATTTCTTCACAATGCCTCATTTATGATTCATTATGCTCACATTAAGGAAATGATGTCAGTGAAGCACTATAGAATTTGTTCAATGAAACTATTGTTGAATAGATACTTTTTCAACTTCCTGTAAGTCATGGGGGTTCGCGGGTACTCTGATGTGGATTGCCCCCATCTTTCCTATCAAACATCAGCCGTCCTTATCTCTCCTCCTTCTTTTCTTTGTATGCCACTCTCTTGTAGTAACACCTTTAACCTTGAGCACTTTTATCACCTTAATATGTTGCAAGTGCTGAAAAAAGTGACAAGAACTAAAAACTCCCTGTAAAAATTGAAGATAGAAACTCACTTGTTATGACGCACCTTGTTTTACAAACAGTCTGTTTGATCACTTTGCCTACCATGTTGAAAGGCTTTACATTGGGAACAGCACATGTTCTTTTGTCAATGGCATGAATGCCACTGGTGTGTCCTGCCTGCTTTACATTCTGTTATCCAAACTTGAAATAATAGATTCGGTATTATGCGTAACGACATCTGGTGTCTCTCTTTTGTTGCTTACCCTGCACTCCTCAGCTGCATAGAAGCCGTTGGTGAAACAATGCTCCGATGGTAACAGCTGTCTGGCACAGTGTCATATTGATTATTATAATTGTATTTTTTTTCCTTTTCTTCCGTTTAAAAGTTTGAAAATACTAAACGATACCGTGGAATGCTGTTTCAGAGTGGGAGGATTTCGTTTTGATTGGAATCATCTACTTTGAAATACCTTGACTAGTAGACAAAAGCGAAAAGAAAAAACAGCTTCGCTCAAGGGTTACGTTTGGAAAAATGTGTGGCAAATGTTATGGCCACTCTGGCTTTGAGTTCACAATCGTACGTTCTACAAATCAAATATGGTATTGCCACATGTGAAAAAAGTTGTATACGGTTCATGTCATGTCATCTCTGTAACGGCCCTCGTATTATTGTGTTGCTCGTCCGAGAGCTGTATCCTGTTACTTGAAAAAAAAAATGTCGTCCGGACTTTTTCAGATTTGTTTACATTTTTATTCGTTATTTACAGTGTACTTGACTGTATAGTAAGCAATTCCTTCTCCCTCAGAATTTGGCGATTGGCAGTGGACTAGCTGTAGCAGGGAACATTCTGATAAGTGTTTCCTTGAATTTACAGGTAAGTTTTATTTTCTAAATTAGAGTTTCATTTATCATTTACGTTAATTTGCTTTTATTTTTTCAATTTTGCCCTTGTATGTGAACAGTATAATTGAAAAGACCTGTTAGGAATTGAGTTTAATCTGGAATTAAATGTTGAATTCATATATATATTTTTCTCTGTGTACAATTCATTTGCTCTTCTCTATTCGTTTGACAAATGGGTAACAGGGAAAGATCAGGGAAACAGCTTTTTTGAGAACATCCGAGCAAAGGAATGAATGGAGAACCATGATCGCCAATGTCTGTCGCACATCTGGCACTGGATGATGATGATGATGATTCGTTTGATTAATTTACTTAACAGGTGCATTAAATCATGAAGTTTAGATCCTGGTTCGTAAAAAAAACTATACTTTGTAGGGCAATAAATGCAGCTTCAATGATTAGAAAATGATTAGAGTGAAAAAAAAAAGAAGTACAGGATAGCCAGATTTCTTTGTTTTGCAACCTTGACACTAGTTTGGTTATTTGAGTGCAAACCCCCCCCCCCCCCCCCCCACAATTTAAAAAAAAAAGAAGAAAATCCCCCAAAGCATCGATCATGACTTTTAATTCTTATATAACGATGCAAAAAAGAAAGGCAGGAGTTTCTGTTCTTAAGGGACTTCCAAAATGTTCCCAGAAATATGTTCACCTCCGGAATGCTGCGCGAGAAGTTGAGGTCCACTATACCAAAGAACTCTTGTGGTGGTTTGGGCTCCTACTCATGGGTGCCGGAGAACTCTTCAACTTTACGGCCTATGGTTTTGCTCCGGCCTCCGTTGTTGCGCCATTGGGCACGACCACTGTTGTAGGTAAGTAGTTGCACATTATCATCATTTTATGTGTTGATAGTTTCTGGAGGTTTTAAAATTTTTATTTTTTTTTATTGGTGTTTGTTTCAATTTCCGAATCGTTGGATCATTATACTCATTCCTTTGCTTTATGTTCTTGAATTTCCTTGTTTTTTTAAATGAAAATGAGGCAGCAGTTTACTGACATGATATAAAAGCATGGAGAAACAGCTTCTCTCCGTTGTTGATTGTTAAGGTAGATCGAAATTTTCTTTAAAGAAGTCTTTTGAGAGGTTTAGTTGAAAACATGTTCTCCTCAATTATATGCTTTATTTTTTTTTGTGTGTGCCCTGTCAGGGATTAGTAAAGACTGTTCATTTGCTGTTACTTTTTACTCTTCCTTGCAGCTAACCTGTTTCTGGCGGCAATATTCTTGAAGGAAAAAATACGCTCGGAAAACCTGTTTGGTAAGTATATTTTAATTTCTTTTCATGAAAGCGAATGGTTGGAAGATACCGATATGAGGTTATATTCTTTCTTTCCCCCCATGTTATTTTTGTCCATTATCTTGCGTTTTCCACATATTTTCTGTTGTGGGTGGTTGGCGGGTGCTCTGGTGTGGTTTGCTCCTTCTTTCTTATCAAACATCTATAGTCCTTATCTCCCCTTGTTCTTTTTTATGTTTGTTACTCTCTTGTAACACCTCTAATCTTCTGGCGCTCATATGACCTTATGCAGCTGTGAGCGCAGTAAAACCTCTACTAAAACAAAAACTAATATTTTCTACCCATCTTGTATGATTTGTTAAAATCCTCGGCTGAAATTGATAGTTGTTTATTTGTTAAAGATTCTCTCTGTAATATGTCGTCATTGACATGGCGCTACCAGTGTTTGAAACTTTCATTCCATCGTTTCCTGTTGCATTTTCCTATTCATTTTATGCCAAACATAGCTTTGGTCCATAACAAGCTAAGGTTTGGATTTTTATCAATGCTTTCTAGTGGGAAAATTGTATTTGATGAGTGCTCAAGGATTTCAGCTTGATTCATGATATTAATGTCAACCCAGTGTGGCTATTTTCCAGACTAGGTCTTGTTTTGGTGAGTGTATGTGTGGACCGTTAATCTGTCCCCGTTGTTTTATGTAAGAAAACTTCTGAAATTATGCAAACTGAGCCGAAAAATATGAAATTATGTGATTTTGTTAATTATAGCAAAGAATGATAAAGGAAAATAATAAGAAATTATGCAAAAAATGATCAAATTTTGCTAAATTATGCGGGGTGCATAAAACCACGGGGACAGGTTAATATAAAAGCAGGTGAATACAACTGAGAAAAAACCTCTGAGCTCAGCAAAAACAGGGTTTGTCAGCCAGAAATGACAGTATGTGTTCTCTGTCTGGCATACACCTGAGGGAACAGGATGCAATTGGTCGCTTTTTAGGGCAAGAGGTCTATCCCGAAAAATGCTGTTTTGAGAAAATCAAAGGGAAAGTTTTTGCCCCTTGTTTAGTTTAATTAAAATACAAGGAGAGTTTTTTCTATAACCAAACAAATATACTCACCAATGAAACCAAACTTCTCCTGTAGGTAGGGCAATGCCCACTTTTGGAGTAGATAAAGATTTGTGGAAACCCCCAAAATCTGGGTTGTCCTTAAAAGCGACCAATTGTAATTGAGATCTCCTCTGGCCTTTTAAGGGTTAATGTGTTGTAGTATAAGTTGTGTAAGAACCAGCGAGGTAAATACTGACTGGTTCAATGTATGAACAGTTTATGGAAACCATACTTGACTTGACTGGGAATCGTGATCACATAAAGGACTTCACTTTCTGTCAGTTTTCCGATAAACACTATATTTGTTTTATTATATTTTGTTTCATAAATATGACAATGTTTTTTCTTACATTTCCTGACAGGTTGTGGCCTGGCGATAGTAGGAGCCTTTTTGTTGGTCTATTTCTCCAACCAGGTAATACAAAATACCTTCATTAAAATACACACATCGGGTAGTGTGGGGGAAAGAGACAGGCAGACAGACAGAGATAGACGGATATTTGACCGGCAGACAGGCAGGCAGGCAGGCAGGCGGGCTGTCAGATGAGTCGAGGGAGAGAGAGATAGAGAGAAAGAGAGAGAGAGATACTGAAACAGAGACAGAGAGAGAGAAAGAGAGTAGGCCCTACTGTAGATTTATAAAATTTTATAACGCTAACAGTTCTATTTCTTTAAATGGAATAATTATATAGGTTAATTAGAACAATTATGTTGAGTTCAAAGTAGAGAGGATTCATTATAATTCCTAGGTGTAATGTGAGGATTTTAGCTTCAATGGTGTACAATTTGTGTAGCATCGGGATGAAATCAGGTGATCGTCAAAATAATGAAATCTAAGAAATCAAATTTTTCCGCCGGCTTTTTTGGCCCAACAACGTAAAAAACATTGAAAACACATTTTTGTGTACATCGTACTAAAAAGCGTTGACCAAAGGCACAAAAAATGTAAATTTTCAGTTTCCAAGGACACCCAAGCTTTGAAAGCCTCTTAACTTTGGCGACCATTTTCTCACTAATTTTACTTCTGACACTAGACAACCCCCACCTTCTTCAATCACTAATATCTCGACTTCTGTTCAAAATAGACGTACATTTTTTCATCAAAAGCAAGAAAAATGAACAAGCTTTAAGATGATACCGATATATAACTCTTTATGTCCAAAAATTGATGAGCACCTGAGTCCACTGTGTTGTGACACATGTTATTTGTATGTTTTTTACGACTCTTTTCAGAATGAGAAAGTGATGGGCAGTTATGAGATCATTGAAGGCCTCTCACAGCCAATCTTCGTGGCTTATGTTGTAAGTATTGTAACTTTGGTAGTTTTTATGACATTGCTTTTCTTCATTTACTCTTCTTTACATTCAAGTATTTTGATTATTTCCCTTCTCAATTCAACATGTTTTGGTAGTTAGGCCTACAGATATGATTCAGCATAGATTACCTTATTTTGGCTTGTATTGCAAAACACGCTTTAAATAGTTATAATATATATTGACACAGAAATGATGAGCTGAAATTTAGTGACTGCTTGTGAAGTATTGTGTTAGTTACGTTCTCTTGCAGTCTCTGAGCAAAGCCTCAAATGTCTTAAATTGTTGACATTGAAGTTTTTACACTGTAGAACTTGATGTTTCTACACATCTTTGTAGTGGTCTTTTCTGTATTGAGTATACCAGCTTGATAATTGACAATTGACAAATGCCACATGATGTAAAAGATACTATGTTTGGTGGATCGATGTACTTCTCTGAGGCTTTGATAAAACAAAAGCATTGTTAACTCATTTGACGCTAGAATGGCCGAAGATGGTTAATCCATTCAAAATGACCCACCGTGGCATTTTTTATACGATAGTCAAGTGATGAAACAGTGTCATCGTGCTTACAAATCCCCAAGTTGTTAAACAGAAATGATTTTAGCTAGAGTCAGGAAAAGACATGAAGTTAAGAGTGAATTTTGACAAACAAATTTTGTGGCACAGGCATGATATATCTTCATTGAATGCAGGAGAGTTGTTATTAAGGGTTTATGTAAAATGTCAGTAGCATTTAATAAATGATTCCCATCTGACGGATGAAGTCCGGATGATTATTAACAACTTTTTTTTCGGAGTGAAACTTCAGCAAGGTGCTTTTCTAATAAAATTTGTTGCCTGCTTTAACAAGAAGTTCTTCATCTGTTTGTTTTTGTTCTGCACTTGCTGTCTTTTGTTTTTTTCTAATGATACGGTGACGCCGTTTTCAGACAGCAACTGTGATGTGTTACCGTACTGTTATTGTTTGTTGCAGAAGATTCCTGAGTGAGAATGGATTAGCATATATGTGCCCCGTTTTCTTTTTGCCTTTGCTTCACTGACCCCAGCCTTTAAATTTTCCATACCAGTTTCTACTTATGTTTTCCCTTCACCTTTCCTGAGCACCTTAATATGTAACCTTTATGCCTTGTTTAAGATTACCCTCTCAAGCACACTCTACTTTAATGTATCTTTTTGAAATCTTGATGATATGAATTACTTTAAAAATTACTGTTAAAAACAATCAGGAAACGACAAATGCAGTTTTTGGGACTCCTGAATAGACATAAATAAGGGTCTTGAACATCTAGCTGTCACTGGCAAAATTGAGGGCAAACGAGGCAGGAGTAGGCCCAGAACAACATACATTGGGAATCTAAACAAATGGGTAACAGGGAAAGCTCCGGGAAATGTAGCTTTTTTGAGAGCATCCAAGCAAAGGAATGAATGGAAAACCATGATCGCCGATGTCTGTCGCAGATCTGGCACTGGATGATGATGATGAATTACTTTGTGCTTCATCTATGTGGATATTATGATATAGCAACCAGATTTCTCTGGCTATCACGTGATGGTCCAACTCTCTGTTCCTTTTGCCGGGGATATGTGTTTGTCAGTGATGGTAAGAGCAAGATGAGAAGATGTAGTAGGATAGTATTGAGCATTATATCAAAAAGACATAGAGTATGAACTATTGAAAGGAATAAGTGGTGAAATGTTGAATATAATTTATTATAATATCGAAAGGACAAAGGGGATGAAATATCGAGATAAAAATAAAGTAGATGATGAATGAAATGTTGAATGTGATATCAAAAGGACATGGGGGACGAACTATTGAAACACAATTTCTATTGTGACTCATTCTTTTCAGTGCTTTGAGATGATTGTGTTGGCAGGCTTGCTGTGCATGCTTTATCACAAAAAGATGGAGCATGTTCTTATTTATCTTCTTATTTCCTCCATCACAGGTAATCACCTTTTATTATATCTTTCTTTTGTGTGGGATGAACCGCGTTTTGTTTTATCGAAAAGAACAACCTCAAAGGTCTTTTGGAACAATTAGAAAAATGCAACTTGCAGAGTGAGTCGAAGTGAAAATAACTTACAAATGAAAAAAATCAGAATTATGTCAGAGTTTTTTTCTGTGTCTTTAAAGCGTTGAAAGGAGTATTTTTTTCAGATCACTATTTTGTTGTTGTTATTAAACCCACTGTGAATGTTTTCTTTCGTATTGTTTTTTTTACCCTCCCTTGTATTATATTCAAAGCAAGATCTTCTTTTTTTAAAACTTTGTGTAACTGTTGAAGCAAGCCATCTCAGACTGGACTCAATAACTCGAATAACATCTGCAGCCTCTTACTTGAACATTTTTCTTTTAATACAATGTATATGGCACAATCATTTCCTTTCTCTAATTATTTTGCATTTTCTTTTTCTCGAGTGCACATTCTAAAACTTAACAAGATTTGATCTTAATTTCTAGCAACAACCAGCATCATTTTGTTATGGGGAAAAATCATGGGAAGATTAACTCACTTAATAGCTGACATACTTTTAACTATGTTCATAATTATAACAATAATAGTATTAAATGTAAACTTCCGTGCCTGTTTCATTTCATAAAAGATTGTTTTAATTGTTCAAACTGCTTCGCCGTACGTAGAAGCAGACACAATTATTAATAGTGCCGGCTTAAATATAATCTCCATCTAGATTCAGCATTTTTTACTTTTTCGCCCCCCTGAATCATCGCAGCGTCCTTCACGGTGATCTCTGCCAAAGCCGTGTCAGGGATGATCCAGCTGTCGTTCGTCGGGTACTCGCAGTGGGACCAGCCAGTCCTCTACGCCATGATTGTCGTCCTCATTGTCACCGCTCTTGTACAGATCAAGTAAGAAACATCCGCTAGAAAAACAACAAACTTGTTCCTTTTTAGGAGTACCAGTGTTCCTTTTTAGGAGTACCAGTTCACGCATATATTCAAAATAATGATAAAGTAAGACTTCTGAAGGGTCATTCCATACTTACTTTACTTTTCCGATCCAGCGGCTATCTGGGTTCTAGCCCTTCGGCCTGTTGATATGGCAAAGAATGTACAGGTTTGTATCAGCTGTGTATTGTCGCTGTATAAAGTGTTTCTGATTTCTGGAGAGGCAGGTAGGTAGGTGCTATGCAGGTCGCTAAGTGCAGGGTAGGTAAAGAGGTGGTGTGGTACTGTTTCATCCTGGCAGTCACACAGCGGGAAGTCTGGTAGGGTATCCTTGCGGATCCTATTTAGGTAAGAAATCAGTGGGATATGTTGCGTATAGGGGGGGTCCTTCCGTGAAAAGGGAAACTGCAGTGACACGTGGAACATAAGGATGATTTGGGCTGAAAAAAAAAAGTTGTAAGCAGTCATGGAACCATTGTATCTGTATTTTTGTTGTTAAAGGCAAACTTTCCTCTACATTTTAACCAATATTTGATAGGTATCCACATACACATTAGTATATGTATATAGGCGTGTAGGGTAAAATTGCTGGTTTAGTGGATAAATTATGCTGATGGGCTTGCAACCTCTGTCAGGGGCTCGATTTTCTGTCTTTGGAAAAAACACTTTACACAAATTTTCCTTCTTCAAGTCGGATTGGATATCCAGCAATAGACAGCAAAAGATTTTTGTCCGTTTATTAATGTTAGAGCATAATTGGCTTCTTGCACTGTATGCCTCCCAGGAAGCCAAGAATGTTTCTGAGTGTTCTATTGATTGCAGGTGTTATTATGTCGATTGTAAAGTGAACTGAGCTTGCTTTTTAGTGGGGATATAGCTGTACAAGACCCATGCTTCTGATCTGTAACAAAGAAAGATACAGAAGGTCATTTTTACCATCATCTATCAAAATGCTTCCATCTTAACCATCTTGTTTAGTGTACTTACGACCTTAGAGCATGCATCAAAATAACATTGAGTGTGTATCTAGCTTACGATTATTATTGTTTATATTGCTGCTCATTTATATTATGCATGTGATTGTAAGCCTACTTGTGTGTGCATGTGTGTGCACGTGTGTACGTGTGTGTGTTTGTGTGTGTGTGTGTGCGTGTGTGTGTGTGTACTCGTGATGAAACACCAAACCAATGTGCCAGGATCTGGACAATAAAGATGTATCTTATCTTATCTTATTTATTATCATGATTGTTATTGTTCAAAAGTAGCACCAGTATCATGTCACAACTAATGTGGAATGACCCTGAAGTAGTAACATTTTTTTTTGTGTGTGGGTATTATATATGTTACACATAATATGTATGTGGCGTCGGTGGCCAAGTGGTTAGGCTCTCGGACTCGCAACCGTAAGGTCGTGGGTTCGAATCCCGTCAGGGGCCCGACGTTGTGTTCTTGGGAAAGACGCTTTACACAAATTTTCCTCACTTCACCCAGGTGGGATTGGGTACCTGGCTATAGACAGTGAAAGATCTTGTCAGTTTGGTTGTGTTTGAGCATGTAAAATCCGCAGCGTGCACTGTATGCTTCCGCGGAAGCTGAAAATGTTTCTGAGTGTTCTGTGGTCTGCTGGGGTAATAATATAGTGTAAAGCGCATAGAGCCTGCTGTTGAGCGGGGATATGCGCTATACAAATGCTATTTATTATTATTATTATTACATCCAGGGTAATACTTGTGGCTTCAAAACCTCAGATTGGTTCTCTTCAGAAAAGAAGTGTGGGGACTGCTTGTAGTGCTATATCTTTATTCCCTTCCATTCTTTCTGTCTGTCTTTTTAGCGCTATATCTTTATTCCCTTCCATTCTTTCTGTCTGTCTTTTTAGCGCTATATCTTTATTCCCTTCCATTCTTTCTGTCTTGTCTTTTTAGCGCTATATCTTTATTCCCTTCCATTCTTTCTGTCTGTCTTTTTAGCGCTATATCTTTATTCCCTTCCATTCTTTCTGTCTGTCTGTCTTACTACTCTGTTCTAAAGTACTGTTGTCCTGTCCACGTGCTTTTCTTTTTAAAACTTTAAAGTGAATGAAAAAAACTGTCAGATAGAAAATAAATGCCACTCGTCTGTGTTTATTGATGTCATGTATGGTATTGTTATCATTATTGACAGGATGGCAAAGACTAATGTTTCAAATTGAACTGAGACTCTTATGTTGCTGCATCAAGGATCAAGGTTTGTTTTCGCTCATTTGTCCCGTATGCCACGACTTGATCAGAGTTTTATCAGACCTCTTCATACTTCAATCAAACAAAACTGATAAGTTGGGTGAATGCACCCTCTGCTGAACATTTTTGTTCATGTGATTTAACAATAAATGGTTCTGTTTTAATAGTTTTATCTCATAAAATTGTTGTGGTGTGTCTTTTCAGGTTCGTCAATCTAGCAATGAAAAATTATGAGGCAACCATCGTTGTTCCTGTCAACTTTGTTATTTTCACGATCAGCGCTATCTTAGCAGGTATGGTTTTATAGTATGATGCATGTTCTAACTGAATTATATCAAATTTGCAGTAATAGCATGGACTGTTTTCTCTTCTGAGTTAGAGAAACAGTAAATAGAAATTTTGTTCCTTCACTGACCCCTATTCTATTTGTCGTAGTACACAGGGATGATGTTTGAATATGCATTGCTTACAGGGAAAGTTCTGCACTTTTGCAAGATATTTTTATTTATTTCAATATAGGTGAAAAAGTCAAAAACCATGACTCATACTTTCCACCTGCATCCAAACTTGCTGACTGAAATGATTTGTTTCTTCTACATTATATCAGGATAAAATGACAAACAAAAGGAAATAACTTTTCTCTCGCTTCTTTTTAACAAACTTTCGAGATGTGCCAAATAAAGGAAGTAATCCTGTCGTCAACTGGTTTTCCAACTGACCAATGCATTACTCTTTTACAATTTATGAACTTTAGTAATCAAATTTTACTCCGCTGAATGGACGATTGACTGACTGAATTCATGGCTAATCTGTTATGTTTTATCGAGTTTCCTCTCTTGATCAATTTCAGGCATTGTTTTCTACAAGGAGTTTTATGGAATGAACGGTCTCCAGATTACCATGTTTTTGTTTGGGTAAGAGTACTCGCTTATAATATTTTAATGTCATATTGAATTTGAATGAATACTTTAAATACCCCCCGGGGGAAGTGCCACTGACTGTAGGGGGGGACATTTCTCGTTCAAGCATAGTAGAATTGTAAATGGGCTGATTCATGTCACGCTCATAACTGTGCCTGATCTACAACAGGGAACTGCTGCTTTTTCTTTCCTGATCCTTACTATTGTCATTTTCCTCTACTTCTTTTGTATGTTTGTCACTTTCTTGTGACCCGCTATTTCCGAGGTGCCTTGATAGTCGAAGCAGACTATGTGTTGTTGAAGCTAGAGAGGTGAGCAGTCTAAGTCTGATTCCCTGTAAGGACTTTTCTGTTGACACCCACCCCTTGGCGCTCATATGACCTTATGCAGTTGTGAGCGCCGTAAAACCTCTACTATAAAAAAAAAAAGAAAACTTTATTAAAAACGAGCAATAAAAAGACATAAGTTTAAGGAGGAAAAAAATGATCAAATCTTTTTGAGTGAAAGTTGACGAATTAGTCAGAAAATGGAATTTGCAGACCCTCTTTTGGACATGGCTAAGACCTTCAGATAGAGGTCGGATGTCTTTGATTATCACTGACTATTGTTACAGATTGAAATTTGTGTGGTAGGAATGATAGGAAACAAATTTCCTTTTAAAAAATTGAGTTTCATGTCCTTTCAACTTTTTGTATATGTTGGAAAGTATTTGTATTAGTGTATTTAGCAGAACAATTTGTGAGGCAGCGTGGTGGAATCAGGCTCTCGTCAAAATAATCAAAGTGAAGAAACTCACATTTTTCTGCAGGTTTGTGAATTCTTATCAAATTTTTGTTTTTGGCTCAACACCTTTCATGCCCATTAAAGAACTCATTTCTGTTTGGATTTTTCTGAAAAACATTTATTAAAGGCACAAAAAAGTAAATTTTCAGTTACCACTGACTCTTAAGCTAAGGAAATAACTAATCTTTGGCGGAAATTTTCTCACTAATGTTACCTCTGAAAACAGGTGACCCCCAACTCCTTCTTTCGCAAATATCTCGACTTGTATTTAAGATAAAGGGATATTTTTTTCATCCAAATAAAGACAAGTGAATAAGCTTTAAGATGACACCAATACCTCTACATGCCCAAAAGTTGACGAGAGCCTGATTCCACCACACTGCCTCACATTTAGTTTGATGTAAACACAAAATAGATTTGAACTGCCTATGTTGGAAAAACTCTGAGTGCATATTTTTGAGTGCATGTCTCCATTTTGAGAATATTTGGTCTTATAATATTGATTAAGTGGCTGGCTTTCTCATGTCCACTGATAATCATACATGACCTGATTGACCAGTAGTATTTAGATTGATTTTGAAAAAGAATAGAAATCCAAGTCTGAAAAATCATTTACAGGGATCCTAAACATTAATCACCGGGCCACAAAACACGCTGCTCTTCTAGGGGCTCCCAAAGTGTTGGTTGCAAATTTTGAAGTCTCGTTATCTTTTCCTCTGGTCCTGGACAGCTGTGCACTTTCATTTATGGCCGTCTACTTCATCGCCGTGGGAAAAATGACGAGTGGGACGGGAGCCAAACCTGACCTCCAGCCTCAGAATGTGGCCTCTGACCTCATTCCCTGTGAGTAAACGCCTGTATTATTTTAAATCTGAGAGTAAGTTAGTGCTCTATCAGCTTTTTTATTATTCTTTTCTAAGTATCATTAATTTGTAGGCTATAGGCTTTAACTTGTTAACTCATTCGGGACGCCGGGTTTAGACAAGATTTGCGCACGATTTTGGGTCAAATTTGAAAGTCTGCCATTTTTTCCCCTTTTGATATTCCGAAACGTGCCAGGACCCCTACAAAAATGGTGTATGAGACCCCCCCCAATTTTTTTTTTTCCTCTAAGTTGACTGTGAAGAAATGCAGAAACAAACAAGATAAAGTTACAACACAACAATAACGCAGCAAAAAATACATCCCAACACAATTTACAGCCCAAATACTGTGAAGAAATAGTTTCAGTCATTGTGAATAGTCCTTCTGTGTATGGTACTCCCTAAAGATCCGTGTTCTTTGTCACCTCGACTGCCTTCCTAAATCGCCACAGACAATTGCGAAAAACCACACCATACGGTCAAAAGTAAATAAATACAAAATAAAATTTGGCTTAGCAAAGTCAACCAAAAGTTTGTTCCCTGGATTAGCTTCATTTGTGCGGATACAGCGGTCGAGAAATGCTATACGTCCGATGCGTCTTCCACGGAGCTCAAGGCTATGGTTTGATGCGTCCCGAATGAGTTAAATATGTACATATAAGTGAAGAACATCTGCTGTTCTACACTCATCTTCAAAAGAATGTGCCAGGTATGAAACTGATGTTGGTAATGATGATTCTCCATTCCTATTTCTGCTCGGACGCTCTTAAGATAAAAACCTGTATTATCCTGGTATTTTCCCACCACCCACCTGTTCCGGTTTTCCAAATAAGTTTCTCTGGCTCTACTTCCTGCCTCGTTTACCTTCTATTTTTCCAGTGAGAGCAAGATGTTCAAAGTCTTTAATTGTCGGTCCAGATGTCCTAGAAATTGCATTTGTTGCTCATTAATTGAGGTGTGAAATATTCTCGTCATATGTTTTAATAGAGGTTTTACGGCGCTCGCAACTGCATAAGGTCATATAAGCGCCAGAAGATTAGAGGTGTTACAAGAGAGTAACAAACATAAAAAAGAAGGGGAGATAACGACGATAGATGTCTCATCATATAATTTTATTTATATATATGCGAATTACAGCGTGGATGATGGCGAATGTGAACGTCGGGCAAGTGCAGCCTTCTGGGCATGTGGAGCATCTGAAAGACACGGAGACAGACAGCGACAAAGTTCCCATCCTACACTCCGAGGCCCTGGAGACCATCCAGGAGGCCGACGGACCGGATGAGGCGGATGGAGACGGGATATCCGTAACGTCTATGGACATGCTGCTGGACCGGGAGAAGATGGGAGCGACCAATCGCGCCAACTACTCCTCCACCAGTCGCAGTAACTAATGTCCTAAGACTAAGAGACTTAACGTCAGCCAGTTGTTCAAATGTTCGAACCCCCAGAAAGCGAAGTTTTTACGTGAGAAGGAAGAAATTGTTTCATTTTTTAACCCTTTGCTGTCACTTGGCGCAATAATGCGCCGGTGAAAATTATCCGTTCTGGTCACCTGGCGCAGTTATGTGCCAGCCAGGCTGGAAAAGTCTGTTACAGTCGCTGTCCTGGCATCGCTGTCCTGGCTGGGTGACCAGATGGGGTGTTTTGTACTGCTGGCTAGCTGTGTGACTGCAAAGTGTTAAACAATTGTACCTCCTGTGCGTATCTTCCTGGGAAGCTGAGAATGTTTCTGAGTGTTTTATTGGTCTTCTAGGGTAATAATATAGTGTAAAGCGCACAGAGCTTGCTGTCAAGCGATTATATGTGCTAGACAATAAATACTATTTAATATTTTTATTACTATTATTATTATCTTTTTTGTCTTTTTTAACGTATAGAGGTTGAATTTAACAAAATATTTCTTGAGCACTGGAAAGCAATACAATAGATAAAGAAACTGAAATTTTCCAAAAAATATCAAAATTTTGGGATTAGTTCATTTGAATGGCTGGCAGGTAATAAGTTAGATACGTTATGTATTCATGCTGCATATGTTTTATATTCTATGCGTATGTTTTATATTCTATGTGTTCATTGTTATCTTTTCTCTACCTCTCAGTGACAATTTGTGGAGGGTTTGGGCCTGTAACCATAGCAATTTATGCAGTTGGGAGCGCCGTAAAACCTCTACTTAAAAAAACCAAAAAAACCCCCAAAGTGACGGCTTTGTAGATAACTGGTCATACAATTGACTATGGGAAGCTCTTTTAGTACTGGTACATTACATATTACCAGAAATACCTCAAAGAGAGAAATCTTCTTCTTCTTCTCCTCATTCATTTTTAAACAGACAGCCCAAATTTTGTTGAAATCTGGAAAAATGTCCCCCTTCTGATGGACATGAGTTTTTATACGAATCTGTTGCTGTAATATAATACAAAACAAAGGAAAATTTTACTTCCTTTTCAGCGCAATCAGTACACAGGAGTATCATTTCAGCAGAATAAGAAGGAACGTCGGCGCATTTTTTTGTTTCACTCTTTATGTAGTCTCATTTAGAAAAGCTCTCAAGCTGTTTCCACAATACTTACCCTCCAGACAGCTGTGTCCCTTGAACTACTACTACTGTTTAAAGAATGCTCGAGCTGCGCCCAAGATACGTGGAAAAACATCGAGTGAGACTGAAACTTTTGAAGTTTGTAAAAAAGTCGATTTTGAAAGTGGTCGCCTTTGAACAGGTTTTTCTCAGAGCAGCACAGAATTATCAGACCGGTTCTATTCATTGAACGACTCACTATACACAAATTATCAGACAGGTTCTATTCAGTGAACGACTCGCTATACACAAATTATCAGACAGGTTCTATTCATTGAACGACTCACTATGCACAAATTATCAGACAGGTTCTATTCATTGAACGACTCGCTATACACAAATTATCAGACAGGTTCTATTCATTGAACGACTCGCTATGCACAAATTATCAGACAGGTTCTATTCATTGAACGACTCGCTATACACAAATTATCAGACAGGTTCTATTCATTGAACGACTCGCTATACACAAATTATCAGACCGGTTCTATTCAGTGAACAACTCGCTATACACAAATTATCAGACAGGTTCTATTCAGTGAACGACTCGCTATACACAAATTATCAGACAGGTTCTTTCAGTCAATGTCTCACTTTACTTGTCCCCGTCATTTTATGCAAGAAAAATTCTGAAATTATGCAAACTGAGCCCAAAAATGTGAAATTATGCGATTCTGTTAATTTTAACAAAGAACGATAAAGGAAAATAATCAGAAATTATGCAAAAAATGATCAAATTTTTACTAAATTATGCGGGGTGCATAAAACCACAGGGACAGTTATACACAAATTATCAGACAGGGTTCTATTCAGTGAACAATTCACTAAGCCATTCTGTGTACAAGCTGCCCCCTTCTCTTTGGTTGTCTTTGACAAAAGTATTACATGTACTACTTACTCTATAAATAGCTTTTGCAATGACTTCTCAATTGAAACGGACGTGCTGAGATTTGCACAACGTACTTTACTTTATGCTTCATCTTGTATCGTTAGATTTGAGGCAAGGAGAGGGGCAGCTTTTGGTCAAAGGCTAGGTGGGTGGCTTTTTTTGTTGATATATATATATATATATTATATATTATATATATGTTATTCTTTTGAAGGACCAAAGATATAAGCGCACATACTCTGAAAATGACAAAGGAGTCACTCTATTGCTTCAGCAAAACCTGATTGTTGTACTTTTATATGATACTGAATAATCAACTCTTTAATTTATGGAATGTTATTCCACCTTTGTATGCAGGCAATTTCGCCATTTCTAAAACTTAGCTGTACTGTAAGGATTGTTCTAAAATGCTGTTCTCAATATTATATAAATTTATTGAGGTGCACTTTGTGGTCAAATTTTGCTGAAATAATTAAACACCGATTGAGAAGAAATGAATATTCCATTCAATAAACATTCAGTTTTATTAATAATAATTATAATTATCTATAGTTATCTTTCATTATTATACATAAGATGTTTTTGCTGGGGATTCATACATTTTTGTAATGATATTTAAATGTCTGAGTAATGTTAGCACCGACTGAGCTGGACTGCTATGTATTAAGAGCTAGAGCTGCATAGTTTGACCTGAAACTTTCTTAATGTGGACCACCACTTAATGTTGAAGGTGTGCTAGTTACCCTCCCCCCCCTCCCCCCCACCCCCACCCCCAACCCCCCACCCCCAACCCCCCCACACCCCACAACCCGGACTCCTCTATGGCGAAGTTTGTCTGTCCCACCGTTAGACAGCTGCTGCTGTACAAACCCTCGGACTCTTCCTGTGACTCTGTGACTCTGTGACTCTGTGACTGTGACTCTGTGACTGTGACTCTGTGACTGTGACTCTGACTCTGTGACTGTGACTCTGACTCTGTGACTGTGACTCTGTGACTGTGACTGTGTGACTGTGACTCTGTGACTGTGACTGTGCTGTTTACTCTCTCATTTACCCGGCATGTTGTTCTTTACGGTCTTGTTCCGTGTTGTGTAGATTGCCTTAATA